GTCGGGTGTCGAAGGCAGTGGGGGCTTTGAGGAGTTGACGCGCGGCGCTGGGAAAGGCGGGTGAACAAGGCAGCAAGCAGCGTTATGCTATCAAAGATACCATGATTTGAAGCAGGACGAGGCCCCATGGGCGGCCGCGGCGCACCTGGCTGCTGCGCACGGGGCGCCGGGGTCGGCCGCCTGGCGGGCTTGCCGCTGCTGCTGCCGGCGGGCGACGGCGATCCATCTGACAGGCCATACTTGGACATGATGGCATCCAGGCCCTGGACGTCTGCACCGGGCTTGTCGCCGCTGCCACCCGCTTGTCCTGCCGCACGGACCTGCAGCGGCAGCGGGCGCGTGCGCCGGGCTGCATGCGTCAGAACAGAGATGCCCTGGGCGCTGCGGCAGGCCAGGCGTGGGCGCATTAGGCTATTGTTGGCTGTACGAAGCTGCATGGATGCGAAGACACGGCTGTAGTGAGCTGGTCTGGTGCGAGATGAGGTGGCAGTGGGGCCGCTGATCGGGAAGGAAGTTTGTTCAATTGGAGGTGTCGCGTTGATCATTGATTTCAAACATGATGCATTGAGGTGTGTATCTCGACGTTCGAGAAGCCACTTTCAAACTGTGGTGACCACATCGAGTGTGACCACAGCAGCTTTGCAGGATTGGCTCCCTCGCTCTCGCGGTTGCTGCTGGCACCTACTGCAATGCGGCGTAGTGCGATGCACTCTGGCAGCCGGCCAGCGCGTGCCAGCATTGGCTGCAATGCAGGAGGCCGCGCGCCGCTGGAGTGCACATTGCTGCACCGACGGCGGCGCCACCAGGTGATTTGCCGCTTCGGCACGTGCGCGCCGGCCGGGGGGCCTGTTGCCTTCCAGGCGTGCCGGCCTGCCCATGCACTGAACTCGTGATAGCCATGCGCGTGCGGCCGCAGTCGGACGCAAAGTGCAAGGGGGGCATGACGCCCTGTGCAACTGGGTGCTGTGGGGAGCGCTGCCCATGCACCTGCAATGCTTCGCCCCCCCTGCCTGCTCCCGACGTTACACAGGTATGTGCCGCAGCCGCCGGGGCCGGCGCCGATGGCAGCGGCGTCGGGGTCGCTCACGACAGCACCAGCAGCGGCAGCGGCAGCGGCGGCGGCGGCGCCCCGCGGCGGCGCGCGATCGACGTCAGCCGCGCGCTCGCCGCCGCGCGCGCCCGCGAGGCGGCCCGTGCTGACAGCCTCTTTGCCGACCCCTTCGCCGAGCTTCTGGCGGAAGGGACGGCCGGCTTGGGGGACGACGAGGTGCGACTGCCCTGGTGGGCTTGTGTTGACTTGGGTGTGTTCCGGCTGGTGTTGAGGACAGATGGATTGTCGGAGCCGTTCGGCAACGAGCAGAGCGGCACGAGCGAATATGGGGACGGGCGCAAGGGCGGCGGGAGACAGGGCTGCGGCTTTTTGCGAGTAGGGGGGGGGGGACCAGGGCGGCCCCCCGCCCGGGGCGACAGGCGCTGGCACCCCCCACACACCCACCAACGCGACGCGGCGGCTTCGCCGCGCCTCGGGCTCCCTCCCCCCCAGCGGCGGGCCTGGATTAGCCGCGCGGCCCACCCGTGGTCGTCCTGCGAGCGCGTCGCTTTGCACTGCCCCGCCGCTCACATAACTGCACACGCTCCCCCAACAAAACAACCCCTCAGACGGCCCTGGATGTTGTGGCCACGCGCTACATCGATGAGTGCCTCATGAATGCCATCCAGCAGGTCAACATCAACAGCATCAACCAGGGTGCGCCGAGGGGGCACCCGCCCTTCTTCCCCCGAGCAGCGCACCGGAAAATGCAGCTACGATGTCTCGCTGGCCTGCGCGCCGGCAGGGCTGCAGACCCGGGGTGCTGCGCGCGCGCCGGCTGCCAGGGGCTGCGCGCGCGCGCGTTGCATGCCGCGACCCCTTCTGCACGCACGTGCCGCAAGCCCTTCGCACGTACATGCGCACGTGGCGCGTGACCGCCTGAGGCGCGGCCCAGGGGAGCGCGCACAGCTCGCTCGCGCCCGCAGGGCGATCCCCAGCCCCATTGAACCGCACTCGTATTGTGCTCGCGCATCACGTCAATTTCACACATGCGCGCATGTGCACACACACACACATTCACACTCTCACATACACACACTTGCACGTACGATTGCACAGAAATACCTTCAAAACGCGCAGGCACGCACACACGCGCATGCAAACTCATACACATGCACATGCACTCATACACACCACCGCCCACCCCGTCCCACCATCTCGCACCGACCCCGAACACCCCTTGCTCCCAATGCCTGCAGGCGAGTACAGGCAGGTCGTGTTGCTCGGCGACGGCTTCGACACCCGCCCCTTCCGCCTGCCGTGGCCGCCGGGTACCGTCCTCTTCGTCGTCGCCCCCCCAGAGGCGCACGAGCGCGCAGAGGCGCTGCTCTCCGCCCGCGACGGCGGCGCGCCGCGCGTCGAGCGAGGCTGCCTCCTCCGCCGCGTCGACCTCAACCTCGCGGCGGCCTCCGCCCCGGCCCCCGCCGCCGCCGCCGCCGCGCCCGCCGGCGGCCTCGCGGCCACAGCAGCAGCGGCCGCGACAGCGGCGCCGGCGGCGCCGGCCTCGATCCTGCTGGCCCAGCTGGAGCGCGCCGGGTTCAGGGGCGACCGGCTGAGCCTGTGGGCCCTGCAGGGCCTGCACGGCCAGGAGCTGCAAAAAGGCGCCCTGCTGGAGCTGCTCGCTGACGTCACCAACGGCGCCGCGTTCCATAGCCTGGCGGTGGGCGAGCTGCCCCTCGTCGGCCTGAGGTCAGAGGTCGACAATGCGCTGGCGGAGGTCGGGCTGCTGGGCGCCTCGTACGCGCACGGCGACGGGCTGGCGGGCGGCGGGTACGGGCGGCTGCTCGCCGCGCCGGCCGGCGGCGGCGGAGGGGCAGAGGCGGCGGCAGCGCCCGGGGCGTTGGAAGGGGGCGCTGAGGGGCATGGGGACGGCGGCGGGGCGGCAGAGGGGGCGCGGGAGCGATGGCTGTTTGCCTCGCAGCAGATGCGGATGTCGCTGGCGCAGATGGGGATCTACCAGGATCACGTCGGGGCGGCCGAGGAGACTGACGAGGACTTTTTCGGACACTTTTCGTGAGATCGCGAATCCAATGTCGGTTGTGATCTTGACCTAGTCCGTCCGTGGCTGTTCGATTGTGATCACAGGCGTCTGCACCGGCACTGGCGCGTGCATCCTGTCCATTTTGCACAGCACATCTTGAATGGGCCGTTCACTCCGGGCCCCGTTACCCGCCGCCTGCAGCACCTACCCTCGCCAAGCAATTGCCAGCCCTGCACGGGCGGGCGGGAGATAAGTGACAGCTTGAAACTTGCACCACTTGCAGCAACCAACCTCGCGGGTGCCATTGTACCAGCGCCTTGGTGTGTAAGTGAGTCCCTGGATCCGCCGTACTCACCTCCATCTGACCTGCCCAGCCAGCCGGCCGGCTGCGGTAATGCTTGCTGGTCTACCCTCAGGCAGATTACGTCATCCATCACGTCAACTCTGCCAGCTCGGCAGCCAAGCGATCCCTGGGATTTGCACATAAGTACAGAAGGTTGCATGTCTTTGCAACCGCTTGCTGCGATCGCGTCGAACAGAGCTTTGTCGCGAACTGCAAGCAGCACATGAGCTGGAGGATACTAGGATGGAAGCAGGGGAGGCATGCATGCACAGCGCAGCACGAGGCAGGTGTTTTGGGCCACAGAGACGCTTACAGGCTTCGTGAAAGCACTGAGCCGTTTTATTGACGCGACACGGACCTCCCAGAGGGCACGGCGCTATTTCGACTGGAGGAGCCGCTGGAGGGCGGTAGAACATGGAGCAGGCTGTTCCTGGAGAGCAGAGATAGCAACACGTCATAACATATTCCTTAGTTATTGCTGGCGATACCTACAGCTCTTCTTGCGAGCTTCGGTACGCCAGCTGCTAGGACCCCGCCTGGATTGGCCGTAGCTTAGCAGCACGAGCAGGAACCTACGACGCGATGAGGCACGTGTTCAAGCTCTCCGCTTTCGTGCTGGTGCTTGCCGGTGAGCTACCGTGCCAGCAGCGCAAACCCAGCAGCGGCGGGCGGCGGGCACACGGACGCGCCACATGCCCACGTGGCGATCAGGTAATGGCGCGGTTCACGCGCCGTTACGTAACCTTCACAAGCCGCCCCAAAGCATCCATATCTACACATCATCCCCATGCCCATCCCCTCATCCCCTACCCGCCGTCCCACTTTGCCCCAAACCCGCCCAGCCGGCGCGGCGCACGGCATGCAGGCGGCCGCCGCCGCTGCCGACACCGATGACTCACTCTATGCGACCGCCGCCTGGCACGCCCAGCCCGCGGACATGAAAGCCATCTCCCAGGCCGCGCTGAGCCGCTACAGGGGGTCGATCGGCGGCGACCCGGCCGCGGCATACGCCCAAAACCCCGGCCCCAAGGGCAAAGCGGAAGATCTGCGGGCAGAAGCCCGATACGACGACCGCGCCAGCGGGAGTGAGCCTCAATATGATGCCCCCATCCTGCCGCCCCTCGTGCTGCCGGCCTTCGGGGCGGCCCCGGCCCCGGCCCCGGCGCCGAAGCCGAAGCCCGCCCTCCCGCAGCCCATCGCCCCCAGGCCAGCCGCGCCGGCGGCCGCGCCAAAGGCGGTGCCTGCGCCGGCGCCGGCGCCCACGCCCAAGCCGACCGCGCCAATGCCGGCGCCGGCGCCCGCGCCCAAGCCCGCGGAAACATCGCGCCAGGCGCCCGAGCCCGCGCGCGCCGCGCCCGCGCCCGCGCCGGCGC